ACAGGTAGACTTTTTTTGGACTCAGTCTGGTGAGTTACCTTCAGTCTAGACAGTCCGTTACTATTATACGTTCATTCGCTGAGTGTCAACCATGATCTCCTCCACGTGGGGGCCAATTTTATTTTTTCACCGTTTCTAGGACTGTGCCACTATTTTATTAATGCTTGTTCGAAATCAGCATAATCGGTTCCATCTGACCATTAACAGAGCTTCCCCCCCCCCCCGTGCAAACCGGATGAGTTCCGATGAAGAGGGAAACATTGTTTGGCTAAATAGTCCAGAGCCTGAAGTCAAATTTACCATGACTTGGTACTTATGATTTCCAGACCGCAGATCGATGGCTTCTCAGTTGAATTATTACGACTATCGTTTGGCCAAGTTACATCCTGAATTATTTAGAGCCTGTTAAACCGAAATCAGTTCAAATTTACCGGGTGATTAGAACTTCGCAGCCCTTAAAGTACTTGCTGATCGCGCTACATCGACCTGCTCAATGAAATAAGGTGTGAGAATCAAGCCCTATGCTTCACACTGGTTACAAAAACCTTAGAAATGTTATTTAGTTCTATGGACAACAATATTCAAGCAGGATGAATGAATAAATGAGGCAGGCAGTGCTGCAAAGTTTGAGCTATATCTCAAATTATTGAGCCAACGCCGCACTCAGATCACTGTATGAAGTCATCGTTAATGAGTTAATTTCGTGAGTTGAATATTCATTTCACTTTTCACTTGTGGAAATACACTACCAGCTTTGCTTTGTGGTTATTTTAAAGTATAGATAACATTTGAATGGCAAAAATATATCCAAAAAATAAAAACCAGAATAAACTGAGTTAGAAAAATGACTTTACCAAAGTTCGACAAGTTCAGCACATGCAATATGAAGTAATCCAAACTTATACTATTTGGAGAAACTGGGGTCCAGATATCCATGGGAAAGTGGAGGCTCAATGTCAGGGTTATATTTTGTCTGTCAGCTACTTGTGTCCCATAAAGATTCGGAGTGATTAGCCAGAGCACTGCTTTGCAACTTTCTTTCCTTAACATTCTAGGGGAACATGTAAAGCTATTATTCGTTTTGGCATAAAATCTGAGCGGAATATGTAGACCCGAATTATGTGAGGCTTTTTGCCAGCATGATTTAAATCCAGTAAAATCAAGAAGTCGACGCCGCAATTGAATTATTAAGAGCAGCAGCGGTAAAAATTTCCCAGATCCATTGAAATGTTCAAAAGCCAGCTAACAGCGAGAATAGTTGTTCTCTGGCTACTCATAAATAGTACGAGAATAGTTGTTCTCTGGCTACTCATAAGTAGTTGAAATTCTGTCAAAAATTGTCGTCCCACGAGTTCAGCGAACGGACTCTGCTCAGTCAGCTAGTTTGCTGACGGTCATCATCCTGGTAAGCATGCGTCCTGTTCTCGTGAACTTCAGGGCTGGAATAAGTGTCATAAAAGTGTTGATGATTCTCTACAGGTCCCATTGTGTCCATGAGTTAGTTCCTTATCCAATGAGCCTCACCCTAACGATCTCCTATGCAGTGAACTCATGGCCATAAAATTTGTTGTCATCACTGAGCTAGTGCTACCTGTCTGATGTGATAGCGCGGAGCAGATCTATTCGGAACAAAGAGATGAACAAGATTCTGAGTAGTTCCGCCATGTAGATGCACGAAAACGAGGCCAGCCTGGCCTCTTCTGCAGAGCGAATGCTATATAGAATGCCACACCTGTTTCACCCAATTCTGCCAGTTTGTATATTCTAGTGTATATGTTATTCACCTACAGTAGGTCATTTGTTCTCCTAACTCCGTTTTGAGTGCTTTTCCGAAAGGGCCACGTGAATTTTGCGGGTTCAAAAACCACACGCTTTACTAGTGTAGCTTGCAGGTTTCAGAAATTTCCTGCAAGATTCAGGTTCAGTAAAAGTGACAAGTTTCAAGATGTAGATGCATTGTTTATTACATGAGACATTGTAGATGAACGATTCAAATAAATTGATCACAGCAGGCGTTTGTCTAAAAACAGTCCGGCATGCCCAAGCATGATCCTGTAGGCGGATTCATTCCCTTGTAGGCAGGCATAATGAATAATAACCTAAGTTTATCTACTGTAACGAATTCGTCTCGATCTAGCTGCCATAGAAACGATCACATGGTTTTTGCAGCTAACCCAAATGGTATGCATACAGTGCATCTAGTAGGCGGTAAGAATTGAAGTTTTTTATACTGTCACCTGAAAGCTACTCCTAGCTTTCTAGAACAGCATGCAACCACATCCACGTGAGGTCACTATGGAGAACAGGAGAGTGAAACCCCTCTTTTGTAATGGAATACTTTTGAGAGTGCTGTGTGGGATGAAACACAAGTTTCGAAAAAAACTGTGAGCACTCCAAGAGATAAATTCTTCAGCCAGGATCGAGTGGAATGATTCAAGCCGGTCCTCAAAAATTTACTATGGGTTAACATTTTCTATCCATCTCAGTAATTTCAGCACGTGAAATATGGTTTGCACTGCACGTCAGTGGATCGCGATGTTAGACTCTGTTAGGCTTTCTTTTGCGACCCTGCAAATTCACATGTCATTGAAGGGCTAAGGTTGCCTGACTTATCAGTAATGAGGTCTATCAGATACCATGGATGTTTCTATTGCTGTGTGGAGTCGGTCTAACCGAATATCCGTTAACTTCTCCAGTCATTCTGATCCAAATTTAACTTCTATGGTGGTTTCCTCAGAAACTCGGAGAGATGTGCAATTAGTTTTTAGCCTTGTACATTAACAACGGCTAATCGTACCAGTTTTCTCTCATTGTGCATACCACACGGATCGTTGTCGCATGCCTATATACCGTTGATGTGCTGCACCGAATATTCCAGTAGCACGTAGGTGTGACTGATAGTACCATTCGATAGTCTGGGACGATCAAATTGAGAAAAACTCGCTAACACGCTATCACACAGTCCCTAGATAGAAAGCTAGGAACTCCTAATTTCATCTAATAGTACACAGATGCGTTCACTTTAATCATTGTAAGATGAACACAAATCTAATGGAGCCCCAAGAAGGACGAAACCGGTAGTAGGCTGTCAAAGAATTTTTAAAATCCTAAAACTAGTGTGCTATATCAGAAAAATAAACCAACTTCGCACAACTTCCTCCCCTTTGTAAAATCCACCATATGGATAAGAGAAATTGTGAATATTTGGGTCCTCCTTAGAAGAGGCATAGTATCGGAAGATACCATCGCTGATGACTGCCAGTATGTAACGAGAGCATATTTGCCACTTGAAATAGCAACCGTAACTGATCACTTGCCGTTTCTCTCCCGAGAGAGGCTACCTCAGAGGACCGGCCAAAAGCGGTCTGTTTGTGGAGCGTTTTACGAATCCTGGAAGTTGTGTTAGCTCAGACTGCAGTGTGACAAATGAGGCCAAACCACGAATCTGCAAGGTTGGGGTCGCGTTTTGGGAATGTTTTGAAGTTTCTACCTTCCCACTTCACACCATAAATTGTAGGAACGGGAATTGCTGTTGCCTAGATCACCGCAAACTGTTGTCCGTTTTTGAGTTCGAACGTCACGACAGTTCGGCTCCAACAGAATAAAAATAACTGAATGGCGTCTGTTAGCTCGAGATGGCTCAGTAGTCAAGGGAAGATCTGTTGTTCGAAGCCAACCATGACACCTCAACTCCTCCTGTCTAGGCCCGGGGAACGTGATAGTATCTCGGTCCCCTTGCTTTTTTTTTTTTGGGGGGGGGGGGGTACTTCACTGGTAAAATACTCTTTACGGGCCAAACGCACTAGCCTCTGTAGAGATGAACAGTTAGGCTCGGTCAACAGTAACTCATGCCTGTGGAGATCACCAAAACAAAGGACTGCATAACGACGCTTCAGTGTGCACATCAGTGTTGTCACCTGACAAACACTTGATGTTACTGTGTAGACTTTACAAAGCCTTGATACAAGAGGACAGAATGCCAACAGGAAAGTGACAAAAACTACTATGAGGTGATTTACACCTTTGGAATGAAATAAGGGTTCTGGTGCAGTTCCAGTTGGCGTCCGTAAGATGTTTGCTTCCTAAGTGAGCTGTCCTAACTTGTCTTTGGTGGCCATTTCGATGGAGGACGAGGGTCGGCTATTTAGCGAACCGTTTTCTGTTTCGGAGGACTTATAAAAGAGGGTTAGAAGACTATTCCACTGGCTTTAGTATATCAGTGAGTAACCAAATTCGAGGTACTTACATGTAGACCCTGTCCACGAATGAGTTAATTGCACGGTTGACTAGCTGATAGCAGCCGAACAGCTAAGAATTTAAACTACCAGCCGGGAGGTCAAGGGTGTCGGGCCCCATTGAGTTTGGTTAGATGCGCACTGTCGATGAGTTTCATTAAATTGAGAGAGCTGCAAAGTGTTTCTCGGCTGCTCAGTATAGATTAACTTCTCTTGCAGGACCATATCCATCCCCATTTTTGCACATTTCAAAATGAGCAAACAGTACCTTCATCTTTGTCACTCGTGGTTCCTAGACTTTTATAAGAATGCTTTATCCTCCCATGTGCCACTTGATAGCATGTATTTTCCGTCCACTTTGGGATTACCGAGCCACCTCGTTCGTTGGGAATATCAACTTGTAATACATCCAGAAATTTCATGGCAACCGGCAGAAGCGACATACCATGATGACTAATACAGAATGGATGATTCCATTGTCTATCTGGCAGAGAGGTTTTTAACTGGAACTTCAAGAAGGCTAGCTTGCTTCTTATCTGACTGATTGATGCTTACCGAAACTGCTATCTCAATGCAGCTGTCGATGTGGTTCATAACAACAGAGCATAAACGGTATCATTGTGCTCATCACACGTTCAGTCACCCCCAAGCTCCTGATTCTCCTCTTAGCTAATTCTTAAGAAAGTGCACATCCGTCATAAGAACATGGAAAAACTTAATTATTTTGAAGAAAAATTCTTCTGTTTGTATCATCCTCATTCGGGCCACTATAGGAGAAATCGACTGTAAATAATCCGTTTGACTTTCAGAACTCTATATGTACAATATCACTGACACTCACAATAAATCAGAAATAAGTTGCATTAATGTACGTGGTACACAAACTACAAAGAAGCAAAGCGACTTAGTACGCTGTCTGAATGGCTAAGGTAATGAAACTGTTTCAAAGACTTACAATGCATGAAATAGAAAGAAATAAGGGGGGCTGCTGTGTGACCATATTGCGAGACTATTCCCGCTAAAATGCGTGGACATACAGTTAGGGAAGACACATGATGGATCTCGATTTTGAAGCGATGAACCAACAGACTGCGATAGGTAACAGACGGCCAGGGCATAGGAATGCTGCTGAAGGACCATAAGGAATGGCTACAGTGAGCAAAATAAATACGAGCTGAAAAGTTGTGAAGATGATTGCATGAATAAATAATGGGAGAGGAATCAGTCCAATCCATCGGACAGGATGAATTACGGGATCGTGTGTTGTGGAGTCCGAACTAACTTTTTCAAGGTCCGCGGCTTGATTTTGTGTAGACATGTCCGATAACTCTGTTTCATTTGTTTCTTCTTGGGCGGATTTATTTAATTGGTCGTAGCCAAGATACCATATCACATAGGGTAGGTAGATCAAAAGGAACATGTATAACTAAAATAAGGAAAGATAAACTAACATTGTAGCGTAAACTAGCTGAGAAGTAGAATGTGTTCAAACAACAGTCTACGCGAAATCTTATATGCAATATTATTGACTGACCTGAACTAGCTCGAGGGAGTAAGTGACAGCATCATCGACGAACTGATGAAATACGAAGATGCCAAAGCTGAAAACGGCACCAAACTGTTGGCTCAAAATGAATCCAATGTAACTGGGACCTGTTGAAACGAACGATTTAGTGAAGGGAAGTCACTCACAAGTTACAGGAACCCAAAAAATTGAATAGGCAAATCTGACCAGAATGAAAAGTCCAACTTGGTCTTGATTAACTTTTAATTGTCCCCACAGTGACCCTTCACAATGTCAGTAGTTCAATTAGGTCAGAGAAGGATGAAAAGTGACTGCGGTGAATCACCTGGATGCAGCGAATGTCACAGCTTAGTCACCTAACGGATTTTAATAGACCTCTTGAGCTGAAAAAACAACCAGTTGTCGCCACAGCGCTGGCATGCATGCATGGGACATTTCAGTGGCATATCAAAGAAAAACGAGTTGTTGATGAACAACTACGTTCTACATCCAAAGCAAGGATTGATACAAATACCGGGTGAAACAAACAAGAAAGATGTCTTCTATCAAACTACTTCAATATAGATCTGTTATAAAAATATACGACCAAATTCCGCTGATCACTCTGTCGGGAAGGACATCAGTTCCACTGAAATAACTTTATTATGCTAGCCAAGCTCAGAACAAGAAGAGAAAGAAGATTATGAATACATAATACTTTTACGAAGACATCAACAACCCTTAAGATTGATACAACTCATTAATCGCGAATGATGATAGATTTTCGGAATTGCAATGCTCAAACCAATAAAACAAAACAGGAAAGAATCTTGCAGAAGAAGGTGAGAGCCTATATTCAACATATATAGGAACTTCACCGGAATAAAAACCCAGCCAGTGAAGTAAAAGCAAATGGAACAAGGGAAGGCACATCGTTAGCCAGTCAAATGTAAGAAAATCAACCGATTTAGGCAAAGAACACAACCACTCAATCAAACCAAGTAAATTGGGAATCAAAGCAAAATGCAGTTGGAGCAAGGACCATTCGAAACACAGAACGAAAATTGCGAAAGATAAAGAGGGCACCGGGATGACCAACCAAATTGAAATAGAGAGCAGAGCGCAAGAAACTCCCAACAGACCAATCGGAACCAGAGGAAAGTTATTTAACCAACTGGAACTTGAAGGAAGAACGCTATCTGCAAACGGGTTGCAAACTTTGTTCTGTTGTCAAGCCAATTTAACAGAAACCGTTGAAAGCAGAAGTGGTAGTCAACGTCTGAGTGTCAGTTGGCGGGGAAAAGGACACTGCTGGTAGTTCATATGCGTAATGCATCAGATTCCGGAAATGAATAGGACTGCAGATAACTTCAGTTTTATAAGTGGCCCAATGGGGTCCATGAAATTATAGTGTCTGATAACTTGAACGAAAAGAGACTTGAATGTACATTATATATAATATAAAAATGTATATAACGCAATAAGTACTCTCAGCCCATAGAGAGGACAGAAACTAGCTCAAGTTTTTGCTTAGTATGATAGGAAGTAGAACCACAGCAACTCACCCAAACATTGGTAGAAGGATAGACCCAAGATTGACAGAAACGAACAGTTGGAATGTAGGATTCTGTACAGGCCCTGAGAGAATCGATATTTCTGTCTACTTCCGACTGAAAGGTGGGATGAATAGTATAGTTGTTTGTGATCTCTTATGGAATAGTGAACGAACAAAACGCATACCCTATCCTTCATGTTCATCTGAATGAATTCTTAAAGAAGAAAATACCCATTTCTGGTCCATCACGTACCACATGTAGAAACGGCAGTGATACTCCTCGTATCACACTCCTAATGCTCTGTCACGCGTTTCATTCATTCTGAAAGACCCATCAAGTAGTTTTAGTCCCAGAATTCCCACCAGACTCACTTAGTATTTGAACATTAAGAGAAACATAGGTGGAAAGTTTACAATGATTGGGGCAGATGAGAGAATACAGTTTGATATCTTGGCAGTTGTTGCAACTGAAGTATGCTGACAGCCTTGCGCAGCCCATCCATCTGAAGGAAATCACGAAAGAAGGATTAAAATGAATTCTAGTTGAATGCAAGGTAAACAACATAATTTGCAACTGGGCGTTTATCTCCACGACACCTTTGAATTGCGTGATTCTCAATCCTTTATACTATGAGCTACAGCCCGATTGTTTCAGACTTCTTTCTTATCGAGTTCTAATAGCGTGGACGTTTCGTCTGATATTCTGCAGCCTCTCAGACATAGAATTATGGTTATGATAAACAGCCGAATCCGACCAACTTTGTACTCTTCTTATTAGATCCCATGGAGGTGATAACGTTTTTTAAAAAGGTTGCAATATTATCTTAAATTTCTGACCGACAAGTCACGAATCCCTCAACCGGAGTTTGAAACTCATGAGCTGGCACTGAAATTATGCTCAATATTGCCTGTCACAGTTTCGTTCTTTTATCTGATTACACCAAGGGCCGATCAAAAGTCCACTGATTGCACTCTTAAAGATTCCTTTGAGGAGATTTCAAATTGAGCAAATTACCAGTTGAGCAATTTTGGGTTACTTTGCTCACATTATCACTACAATTCCTGTAAGTTAAGCAAATCTTCTGTCACCTTTCGGGAAAGTACCAACAACTTCACTCTCGAAACATGGTATGACTCGTCGTCTTAAATTCACTGGATTCGATTTCCGGTTTCTCTTTCCACACAAAAATGAAGCACACAACTACTGACAAATCGAGTCTCCTATTGCTATTAATGAAGGTGACTGGATTTTCTAAACGTGTTTTTCACCAAAATTAGTGGTGTCATTTGCGTAGTTAACTCCTTGCAGTATTTTTCTTTTCATGTAAATAAAGTGGCTTTTTTCGACCGAAACCCTAATGTGCTTCAACTCCATGTCTAGTCATAATTTAGCTTTTATCAGTTGTTTACGGGTTCCAGGCAAATCTCGGTTCGACTGGTGTACAATGTGAAAAGTTGTTTGGGCAAAACTGCATAGTGGACTGAGAGGCTATGATCCAACGTTTCGAATGCCGTTTTCGAAGTTTTTTTTACTAAAAATTGAATACACACGAATTGCGGCATTATTTGGGTATGCCCTCGTGTCCTCTGGGTCAGCTGGCAGTCGCATGCAACTAAGTTGCGTACTTTAGCTGCGATGCTCTCCCGTCTGTTGTTGCTTTTGAGGTTTGGGCTCGCCCAGACCACCGTGTCTACTGAGGTATCGTGGAAAGACAGACGGGATGATTTCTCCACTATTACAGCTGACGAGTTCAGCTGTGTTAATCTCTAGTGCTTGAGTTCACGTCCGTTCCACGTGCAACTTGAATCCTGACTGAAGTATATGTAGATAATCAAAGTTTATTCAATGATTTGGTTCAATTGCGTGGAGTGGAACGGGTGAATCGCTTTCAAGTCTCTTAAAATCTGAATTGGATTTCTTGGAGGAAAACGCGCGTACCATTTGTGCAGACCAGGACAAGGATTACATGCATCGGTGATCAAGGGAATGAAGATCGAACGGACAGAAGTGCATCACTTCTTGAGATTCACAGACGCCGACCATTGAAAACTCAACTGACTAAAAATGAAAAGTTTGAAATCGTGACATAAGGCATCACCATTTCGTTAACTACCGTTAAAGTAGCGCAAAAGACCTGTTAAGGTTTTTTTAGATAACCATTGTGGTTCTCACTGCCAACCAACTGCCTCAGAACCAACCATATAATTTATTCCGAGTAGTGCAACCATGCGTGTCCTAGTTGAGAGGCAACAATGATCACCTCTGAGAAGGCTGACAATGCCTTCGGTCCTGGTGTTTCACTCTAATTTTCGGCCAAAGCTTTTTTCTCAGTCATTTTTGGAGTATCCGAACGCTACCTTTTTTAACTTATGGCCACAGCTACTCTCTTCGATTAATAGCTTCCTACGTCAGTACACACGGACGAGATACTCTTGGACTAAATAAATATCCATGTGAAAGTACCTCAAGTTTCTGTACTTTCTCCAAACCAGCTGAGGTTTCATCGTCTCCATTCGTCTTCCACGTTGTCCATTATCTTTGTATTCCATCCCGTGATGCACAGTATCTGATTCTTTAACCACCGCACCCTAGATTTACCCTAATTATCACATCCGAATAACGGACCATGTTTGTGCTTGAGTGATGTTCCTGGTAAACCTCAGGCGAAATAAGCATGAACAGATCCGACTCCTCAGACACCAAAAATATGGAAACTAGCTGCCTTATTGGTTCGGGTCTTGAGATGTGTTCAGCTGTTGTTATTGTTGGTGAGAGGCGCTGAAACTTGAGACACGAAGTACGTTGAATCGAAGAGAATTGGAATGGTTAGTGTATTTGTATTGAAAAAATTCGTCTTTTGGTTGCCCCGTAGAAGATACCGCCAAAATGTAAAATCTTAACTTGAGACACGAAGTACGTTGAATCGAAGAGAAGTGGATTGGTTAGTGTATCTGTATTGAAGAGATTCGTCTTTTGGTTTCCCCTTAGAAGACACCGTCAAAATTTAGAAGCCGATTATTTCATTAATTGGAGTGAGATGTTGCAGAACAAAAACGGTAAAAATAAGCAATGAATGCCTGCTCGGATGCGACCTGCCGGAAGTGCTCTGGAAAAATTAGTAAGGTTGGTCTCAGGTTGGAACGAAATCTAGTATTTTTCCAGAAACACGGCGAGTTGAATTACCTGCGAAGTAGACTCTTCGATGAAAACACACCTTTTCCACAATGGCCACCCAAGCGGTAGATAGAGAACAAAATGTTGGAGTTTCCTCTAATGTTGGCTAACCACAGTACGACTTCTTGTATATTTAGGATGTTAGACAAACTGGAGGATGTCTGTATGTTCTTTTAAAATGCGGTCGTTGGACAGGGGTACAAGGTCAGTACTTAAACTGGAATAATAAAGGAAGTTACTCGGAAAACCCTCTGATGGAGTCTTGAAGAAACAAATTTCCATTTTCGGCAATTTTCACACCTTTGTTTTACCGGTAGCTACTGATGGTCCGACACAATGCCTTAGATGGCATGCCACGTTTTTATATCGGTAGTCCACTCGTGTTCTCACAGTTTTTGTTCTCTTCATGGAATGGATGGTTTCATAGGAAACTTTCTGATGTACAATACCTCTACCACTACTACTGAATAGTGCTGTACTAATCCGTCGCTAGTAGTATTACACGCCAAACGGTTAAATTCTCAAATATACATGAGAACCTTGAGTATGATGTAGTGGGGCAGGGAATCGAGATTGACTTACAAGTATATCTTTTAGGGATGAAACGAAGCGCAAACAGCAGGCAGATAATAAGGCCTTCTGAACAATAGAAACCCAAGCGGCTCTGAAGTGAGGTGAACGTGAAAAGAACATGAAAAATGAATCTTCTTCGACCGCTGGGATCAGAAATTAGGAAACATTTTCTTGTTAATTAGTTTTGCTTTTAAACCGCAGTGCGTGCCTCGAGATCATTTGCTAGGTGAAGAGAATACAATCACAAAAATGAACCAACCTTACGAAAAGTATCGGGCAAGTAGTTTGTTAACTAAAGTTCTGAAGTTTATGCACAGCAAGCTGGTCATCTGAGAAGGCCGCAATTTATATGAAATACGACTTCATCTAAATGGGTCTACGAAAATTGCAGGTGCAAGTACCGGGGTAGATTTAAACTCATCGATCACAAAATTTAATCGAGATTCTCGCAAATGCACGAATGCTGTGTCTAAGGTGAGCTTATCCTCACTATTTTCAGCCTTCAAACCACAGGATGAGATTATCAGTGGTCACTATCTACTGGTCTCCAGGTTCACTGTATATCTTCAAATAAAATGAACAAAAGTGGCTACCTTTCAGAGCGGATTGAGGCCACCATCCACGTGGTAGGGTGCGGTAATTACTACAGCATAGAAAATTTACTTCACTACTCCGGTGGCACAACGTTAAAGAAATAACATTGGTTCTGACTGCGATATAATAGTGCTTCGGAAGACAGGTGGTCAAAAAGTGGCCCCACACGTTCACCCGTTGAACTTGTCATTCGAGTTTGCACCCGCATTTGTGCCCTGCATTTACCACCACACTCAGTTTTGTGCAAATACTTTTCAAATTTTAATGGAGGTTCCACCGATGCACGTGCCAAAACTCAATGATCATTCTAGTTCGAGTGGAGGTGAAACTTTTGCAACCAAATTGCCGAGAAGAGCGAACAAACCAATGGCCATTATTACAGGGTATGCTTCAATTGCAACTTTCATTGTTTAACTGCAGTCGGTCTATGTTGAAAAGTCAGGAACCGCTGTGCATCTGTTTCATATCAAATCCCGGCACGGCCATTGGATATGCACTGCTGATGAGCTCTAATAAGAGCGAAACTCGAGTCCAGTGCTTCCTTTTGGTGTGGACTCACCGGAATAATTACGCCAGAACAGGAACACGGCCGTTCAAACAAGAGTTTGGTGGCTATGAGCAAAAATACTTGCCCCGCGAAACCCCAAAATTGCAACCAGAATTCTGCCCAGTGGGTTTCAAGCGTGTGCCACGCTACCTAACTGGGAAGTCCTGACTGGCGGGTCAATCGATCGTCACAAAAACCAGGACAGTTACTGGGTCGTCGTTCGATGAACCGGGCACACCAATCACATCGCTCAAGTGTGAACACGTTTCGCCTGTTCAAACATGATGATTCAGATGCGTCCAACGTGCGTCGGTGGAGCAGTGGTTACACGCTCGCCTCGCATGTCAGATGTCTGCGGTTCAAATCCCTGCGGGGTCATTGGATATGCACTGCTGATGAGCTCTAATAAGAGCGAAACTCGAGTCCAGTGCTTCCTTTTGGTGTGGACTCACCGGAATAATTACGCCAGAACAGGAACACGGCCGTTCAAACAAGAGTTTGGTGGCTATGAGCAAAAATACTTGCCCCGCAAAACCCCAAATATTGAGAACCATTAACAGTGCACATTTCAGGAAACCCCATTGAGTTTGGAGCCCTGGAACTCCCGCCTAGTGGTTCGAAAAGTAACCCGTTCGGTACCGAGCAGCAGATAAGAACCATGATGAATTTGTACTAGACGGGATATGACGCCACTCATTCTTCAATCACGGAATCCACAACACGTGGTCATGTTTTGACTGGCTGCTTGAGTGGCGACTATTCAGATGGAATTTCCATCCATCGTATGAACTTGTTCTTCCTCTGAGCCACCAAGTTTTGCTGATTATGCTCACTTACCCTCCAAACGAAGATCACGCAACTGTGAGACTCAACCCAAAATAGATACCTTTCCTAACACTCTTCCCCAAACTCTCAAATGTTGAGTCACAAAAAATCTACTCTCAGCAAAGACGGAGATTCAAGATACACATACTGAAGGCCTTGTTGCGTTGCAACACCAGATAATTGTTAGACTGATCTCATGTATAAAATATTGGTTCTAGGACGGTAAAGGGTTGCACAACACAAATTTGTTTCGCATATGTTTCATACCTACCAAGCACATATTATCTTTCCAAACAGATTACTTTTAACCGCTTCCATAAAGGCTCATGCTATGTCTTTTCCTCATCAAAGAGCACCTCTAGGAAGGACAGTTTTCCAGCTGTCCACTCAGATGATCTGTTAGGAGAAATAGCATGAAGGACAATCTCTCTACGTCAAATCTGGCTCTGTTGGTTTGTCGAATCCCATTGAAACACAAGAAGCCAAACAGTGACATTTGATAGTCCTGCGCAGAAGAAATTGGAACCGAGAAACCACCATCCTGTTGAGAAACAACAGTATTGTCTTCCGCCGGATGTGCCTTATAATGTATCAGTGCGTGTACTGAAATGTCTCCTCGAATGGTGATGAAACTATGCAAGTCAGTATTCAAGCTGGACGAACAGACCACAGCCACCACGTCGAATCCCATTGAAACACAAGAAGCCAAACAGTGACATTTGATAGTCCTGCGCAGAAGAAATTGGAACCGAGAAACCACCATCCTGTTGAGAAACAACAGTATTGTCTTCCGCCGGATGTGCCTTATAATGTATCAGTGCGTGTACTGAAATGTCTCCTCGAATGGTGATGAAACTATGCAAGTCAGTATTCAAGCTGGACGAACAGACCAACAGCCACCACACTATCAAGGCTTGCCTATGCTGGTACGTTTGATTTGTTGCCATTAAACTACACGGACCTCATCAGGCTAGGGGAACCAACGCTACGGAAAAAAACATCCCAACCGCTCCATGCAATCTGGCGAAATTTAAAAGATGCAATGATGATGAAAAGAAAATTCGGAAGAGATGGATAACTACTTAGGAACTAGTCTTCTGTGCACATCGGTCTGTAAATGGATCGTATCCTGCCTAATTGATAATGGGTGCATTACAAAAGGAAACGCCCCTTAAGAACAGTATGGATAAGAAATTGCAAGACCAATGTATCATGTCTTGGTAGGACCACACACCTGTGGCTACACAGTACAATGCATGCCTATTAATCAGAATTTTTTATAGGTTGAAATCTTCTGGGCGATTCGTTAAACGTGCACTTGAATTAAAAACAGTCAACGGATATTTAGTGTATTTTGGCTTTACGAACAACGAAATATCCCTACTACTCTTAACCTGTAAGTGATTTTCACATAAAAAGAGGGCGCCCACTATAATCATAGTCGTTCAGGCTGAGGACTCTTCACTCAAGAAGCCAGTTAACGGCGGAACACCGGAAAATTAGCTGACTGACTGAAGCTAGGTGACAATGAAGCCTTTCAAGCACTAATCAGACGACGTTCGGCGACCAACCGGAAGCAAGTGGTTGGAAAACCAAGAAATTTGTGGTCGACGATTCCCAACCATGACTGGGCAGCTGCACCTAAGTTGTCGGCTTATCAGTACAGACGTATTTCGCTTGAAGGAAATAATATCTGTTAGTCCAAAGATGTCTTGGAACCATCCGAACTAAAAATGGAGTGTTCGTGGAATCCACGAAGCTTTCAACCGAATCAGCAGGGGACCAATGTGGATCCTCTAACGGAATTTCGGCTGCCCGTAAACCTCACCAAGTCGTTTCACGTTAGGAAGTGGCCTCGGGCGTAGATTTATGCAAGCCTATGGATGTCGGAAAGCACCAGCTAGCCATGCGCTTGAAGTTTGGACGGATGAATACGGTGATCTACATAAAAGAACGCTTTTGAAAGTCACAGTCAGCTTACATAGAATTACCCTGTTAGTCTACTTTTCGAGTTTAGCTATTATGACCTATTATGACTCTGGCAAAAGGGTTTTGGGCTCACCGTTGATTGCATTTAACCTGCTACCAGACTTAAATCTAGGTTTGAAAGGCTCTTAAACGGATATGCTGAAGGGTTAAGGTTTTTCAATTAGCTGCCCCGAAGAAAATGAGCCACTGGTAGGGCTAGTTGAGCACTTCAGATCAAGGGTGTGTGAACATAAGTCAGAGGTAGAGAGAACAACGTAAGACTTTCACCCATGTTAATTACAGCTCAACTCCTGTGAAGTTCTGAGTCCACCCTGTTCACAATGTCCAATGTCGGAAATCTCACAAATTAGGCATTTCTTTGGACTCTTTAGGGGAATTTGGAATTCCGGTCTTGGGAAGCTAACAAGGTCATTACAAATAAATGTGTAGTTTTTTCGTTTGGTTATCTCACAGCTGCTCCGTAGACGAACTTACGAAAAGTGACAGGTTCGTTTGCAGAGCCATCCGGGCCATGAAGGCGAATTCCCATGTTGGTGCTCGGTCTACGACAAATACATGTTCGTAAGCATGTTGATTTCCAGCCGTGTCCTAAAAAGTTAAACATGACAGCATTCGAAATTGGGAATGAGAGAGACAAGAGTAGTGCTGAATGTAAGCAGGGTGACAGAGCTGCGAGGTAATATTACTGTAGCCTTATCCAGCGGATATCCAATCTGGGAAGCAATCAAGGTATTAAAGATCGCCGAAGAACATTTAGGCGGTATTGGCATTGACTGATTGCATGCCTAGTAAGAAGCTATAGTTCCAGTTTCGTCGTAGATCTTTCTTAACCCTCAGGCAAGCAGTTTGACAGCTATCCAAATGTTTGTCATTCGTGCTCACCTGAGGAGCGCTCATAAAGTCAAAATACCTGTCCTGGGTTCAAATAAGCTGATCCAACTTCGGTGATCTCTTTTAAGAACATACGCTGTGCAGTCGGCAGAACGTTTGTTAAAAATGCCCATGACTGGCTTTTATATATTCATATGGGCGGTCCTCTGAATAAGGCATTCCGTCAGTAAGTAACTCCCGCAGCTAGGGCATTGGTCAAAACTATTTTTCACAATCGTAGCCAGTCGATCACAGCTTTCGCTGAAGCTCATTTCACGAAAATCCTTAAATCAGCATTAAATCAACAAAAAATATCCATGAAAGGTTAAGACGCACGATTTTTTTGGCTTTTGCAACCTCTGTTGAACAACTGTTACTCACTTACATAATCTGATTTGCCGGAAATGTTGTAGACGGTCGCCTGATTCTTCGAATTCACATCCACATCACTGTCGTTTGGACAGTCCTTCCTCTATCGTGGTGCAGTTATCTTGGCGAGTGTGTCACTGGACTCGGGTTCTGCTATAATCAGAGCTACTTAGGCAGCAAACCTTTTCTTGGCCGTGATATGATTTAAGCCGCGACACCACCAAGTTAACACCACTCACCCAAAACATCCCATCCGAGCGGGCAAACGTGTTAACGCTTGTGTGATGTGGTTGGTTCGCCCAAAGCCTCGGAAGATGAGTCACCGCGGCCAAGGATTTACAATGACGGTGAGTTCTGGTAAGAGTGAAGTGTGCGTTTGATCCTTTCCCTCTTTTATGTAGACGCACCGTAATAATTGCATTAGGAAAGAAACAGGGCTGGTCAAACGAGGGTTGTGTGGGTGCAAATTAATTTGCTTGGCCATCGGGCCCGGTAAATGAAGAGGTCATTTTAGCCAAATTTAGCTCGTCAGAACTCGATGAGCTCTGCGAAATTAAAGATGAACTTTGGTAATACACTAACTCACGGAAAGTAACCATTTGAAGAGAGACCAGTTCCAAGGAGAGCTACAGAGAACATTCTCACTAAGATTTCCGCAGGGATTCTCGTTGCTGTAAAGGCGACTCTATTCAGTTGGAAGACGCAAAGATTCACCTCCACAAAAATTGCATCAGAATACGTGGAGACGAATTCCAACTGCTGTGGGGCGCAAACCAGCACCCCGTGGAGGCTGACTGATGAAAAATCAATTAACTTTATTAATCCAGCCAAAAAATGGTCCGGAATTCAAATCTGAGAAGATACTGTCATAGTTCGATCAGTGCTAAACCTTATCCCACATTGCACCACTGGCCTTGAAATTCAGTCCTTAACTTACAAATTCAACATCACATTGGAGGTATGCTCACGCGCTGGTTACTTTTTTGACGGATGATGCGGTGAGTACTGCTGCAGAGAGGACGTGAGTTAGAACACTCACTCAGGTATGCTGGGGTTTCTACCGAGTCGCTACTTTGACATTAGACTGGTGAAATCCACATCAAATGCCCTTCTTGAGGAAGGGATTGTAGAGACTGTGCTGCGGACCATGGTATTTCGAACGTAGACTTGAAACTATTCAAACGCCTTGGCGAAAGCCGGCAGAGAATCAGCGACCACTTTTAGGGCAGTGTTTAGTACAAGTTTTGAAAACGATAATCTTCTTATTCAATACATTTGGTCTTGAGTACATATTATGATGTTTTTTTCGAAGCAAGATACAAAGAATGGAGGTTGGCCAGCCCAACAAATGCCAAGAAGTCTGATTTCAAATGACAGCCATAACTTCTGATGATTATCTGAAAAAGCTACTGCCATTCAAAACCATCTTTGCAAAGTCCGACACTCCTCTGCACTAAATTATAATGGGCCAAAGAGAATCTACTCCAAAATGCTAAAGGAAACCGTGGTTAACGCAGTGGTCAATATGTACAGGGTTCATGCCTCTTCCCTGTCACCTATGTACAAGTGTCATTTACAAGAATCCTTGTCTGCCGGTTCTCTCATCCATTCCAGATTATTCTTGTTTTTGCAACAGAAAAGTGAAGATTTTGCCCCATTATGCGGGTAATATAATCGGCTCACATAAAACACGATGCTGAGGGAGTAATGAATGCCGCGTCGAGTGGTGAAACGAATTCAGATAAAGTACTGTGCTCCGAATAAACCAAATTATTTTTTGTTTTGCTTAAAGTTAGTCATCAGCCACACCTTTCTGAATAGCTCTTAACTGTACTAACTTAATTGCCTTCGCTTTTTGTATCCCTAAAACCACCGTTTTACCAACTGTCATTTGTAAATGTTTACAGTTGGCTCTTATACAGACTATCATCAGCAAACATGAAAAGGATGGGACTGAAATCGGGTGAATAAGAACTTGTTCGGTCGTTTAGTGAGATTTTGCTTTGTACATCAGTCTGTGCTGATAAGCCGAGAAGAGCTGTACAGCTGTTTCATTCTTATTGGAAAATATCAGCGGTGCGAACCTCAGGAAACTCCAGAGGGTTTCGAAACCCCACACTCCCTCCTCAAATTTTGTCACCCCAATAATAGAGATAAGTTCAGAAGAAGAAGAATACATCCACAAGACGAGTAAAACTTCCATTTGAGAAGTCATCAACCGAGCAGCTACTCAAAACATGATCACGTGATGTGGATTCCGTGGCTGGAGGATCAGTGGCGCACATTAATCGCACGGTTGATTGGCAGGTCGTGGCCGAACAATTAATTGTTCAAGCGGTTGTTCCAGGGTTTTAAACTCGATCGAGTTTATTAGGATGCTTTACTTAAGAGACTAAATCTCGACTGAAGACAGGTATTTTTACGAAAAATTGCAACCATTTGCCAAGAAACAACATATGAAAGCGAATAAATCGGTTCGGTGTTTAAAGTGACTGGTGTCCAGGCGGTGAGAATCCAACAGTTCATCTGTTAGATTCGGGGCTTTACTGCTGAATAATTGACCGCAGAACTCTTTACATCTAAAAGTTCATACGACAACAGCGTGTGTCTCACACACCACTGCAGGACGAGCAGCTATTTATACAGGTCGGCTTGCTAGTGGCCATTGAAGCTACTAAATACGCACCTCAGTTTCGTCAGAACCCTCATCCTTTTGTCGTAGTGATTTTAGTCTGCTTGGCTTACTCTCTAAGACGAGTTTATTTGTTAAGGGATCAAATCAAGAGTGCACACCTTTACACTTATGGGACTTTGATAACCGTCCTTCAAATAAGCCGGATATGTGGACTGCCACCACTTCACCAATACTACTAATGACCTAAGTGAGCCAATCTGAGTTAACCAAACAAATTAGAGTTCTTCTATACGTACTGGAGAGCTTCCAGTAAGCGAGCCTGACCACAAGCTATCAGTTAGGTAGTACCACGAGTGCTTTAGGTTTGGTCGACAAGTTTTCGCACGCAAAACATAGATCATTTGGTCTCGCAAAAGTTTATCTATAAATGGGATAGGGAAAAGATTGGATAATTATTACCACTTGTACTCACTTCTAATTGGTGTTTACAGCATAATTCACCATAAAGCCTCCAACCAGTATCTCAACCTTAACTGTGTCCAGACAAATTTCAAAAGGGCCCTCTTGTATCCTATGACAGTTGACCAAAAGGACGAGTCAATTAGAAGCCCCAACAATGGCTTCACTGCTTCACTATAATTCCATACTTTGCATTGGTGAGAGGATTTTCTGAGAGGTAAAAGGAAATTCTTTGGGATGAACATGAGTCCCTGTTTTCTTGATTTTACTACCAGTCTGCGGACCTCGATATGAAGCAGCAGACGAGGCCTACCTGTTTAGACAGGTGACCGAACGTTACAAAGTACATAGGCAAAACGACGCACGATATTACCCACCGGGTAGTTTTTCTATTTATAAGGCCCATTCGTGGACGTTGCACAAGCAAATCAGTCACGCAGGAAGGAACTAGCAGAAAACGTCTCTACATCTCAGAAACTTTGGTGGATGTATTTAGGGATCCCATAAACACCAATATAACGTGAAAGTCAGCGGGCTTAGGAATTTGTTTACTCTTGGATTAAAGGAAAAAAATACAATTAAGACCAGTAATTTTGGATTCAACAATTCTCATTTTTAAATCGTCAGCTTGTTGACAAACAAAAGTGAAACTCGAGAGTCCTCACTTACCAGGGCTAACACACGTATCATTAAAGAAAAAAATACAATTAAGACCAGTAATTTTGGATTCAACAATTCTCATTTTTAAATCGTCAGCTTGTTGACAAACAAAAGTGAAACTCGAGAGTCCTCACTTACCAGGGCTAACACACGTATCGTGTGCACCAAGTGATCAGCCCAGTGGCTTGCGTTCCACGGAAGAGTATAAAGCGGTGATGAAAGGTTGGTACCAGCACTGGCCTGGATGGCTTTCCCTTGGTATTTCCCATCAATAGTAACCGAAATGTTGAGTATGGGCTGAATGGACCAAGCCAATATCCTTGAATCAATTGAGAAGTATCCGAAACAGTTATTCATATACCACTCACATGAAACTTTCATCAACCTCAAAGTAAGAATTACCTGACTTACCGAATATGGGTCGAAGTTAATATTCGTCTGGCTGGTTCCTTGTTGGGTAGTAAGAAATTGGAATTTTTCGGGTTTGTGACAAGGAGAACAGGCCACGTTGACGCTTTAACATTGACGAAAGAGACCATGTCATCGTCGACAGCAATAACTCGATAACTAGAATTTTGGCAAAACATATGGGGTTAATTGATTAGACGCAGATTTAGGCAGATGGGCGAATAAAATGTGAAATGTTATTCGCGGCAATGACTGGCAAAATTACCCAGGTTGAAACAAATCTAAACTTTATTTGCCAGCGTGCCATGTTGAAAAGATTGTTGGAGCCTTAGCGAATATACACTCATTTGCAAACTAATTTGGTTTTTCAAGAGACTCACCTGGAACCCAGCTGAATCTCTCGTTTGTGATGTTCCCAGGCAACTGAATGTGCTGCACCAGGCCGCCTCATGTTTCAGTCACTACGATATTCGAGATATCGCGATACATGTATATCTTTGTAATGTACTACTCATAAGGTTGCTGAAAATCCGTCGATAGCCCACGACCGGTCTCACTCTTTTTGGGGCTCATTAGGTAGGCGCAGTTCCCGGGTTTCCGTCAAACTTATGTTCTACTTGAAACCTGAGAACATAACAAGCGAGAGATTCAGCTGGGTTCCAGGTGAGTCTC